CTGGCAACGGTCCGTTCAACTGACTACTTGGACAGAATTGACGAGGTTATACGGAACACGTGTACAGTGTTGCCGTATGGTCATCAGAGGTTGAACCAACGAGAGTCAAGTGTGAAATTGAATAAAATATTGTTCACAAAATTTATTTGAAGAAAATCCCGAAAAAATTTATTCAACAATGAAAAATCCGAAAAAGTATGGGGATGTCAAAATTTTGGTTGAAAATTAAATGTTGCCTGAAAAAAAGTTGCTAACTTGAACAAAGTACTTGGATATCCTTAAGAAGGGAAAAAAATGAAAACTGAGAATTGAAACTGAAAAAGCAAGGAGAGAAAAAAGAGGGAGGAAAGTCGGGGTGACACACGAGGAAAGGAAAACAAAAGAAATCCTGTGAAATTTTCACCCCCAGATAGATAGCTACTACGCTATTCCCAGTCGAAATTTCAAAGTAGATGTTCTTTCTTTTTTATTTCTGGAATAAAACAGTCTAATGAGATCGGATATAGCGTTTTCCAAAATGAGGGAATATTTTCCAAGCATGTTGAAGAATCGTATGTTCTACTTGGGCAGGGAAACACGATTTTTCACCCTTGTCGCATAATATCCTAATTTTATCATAACAAGTTTATTCTCTTGATGAGTACATATATTGTCATAAATACTTCCATGAGTACATTTTTTTTGTTCATTAGTTTTTTAATAATGTTGAGGAGAAATTTATTTTCATCCAACTGATACTTAGGATTCATCCTGGGATTCTTGTCAAGATGAAAAAAAAAATAACAATAAATTCTTACTCATTCACAATCATTTTTAATATAAATTCTTACTTTTTGGAATCCTTATAGGAACCGTTTATCAGATCAAACCAGCCTCCTTACGGTCTTGATAAAATTATCTGAAAAAAGAAAATACGTAGAATTTTTCTTATTCAATTTTTCGCATGACACTACACGTACGAAGAAAATATTAAAGCCTAGCGCTTGCTTTGAGAAATTTTATTGAATTTCTATTGAAAGTCTATGAGAATTCTGTTGAAGTTTTATTGCAATTCTGTTGAAAATTTTCAATCATTTTTGCACACATTTTATTGAAGATCATGAAGTCATGAAGTTTTACCCCGTCATTTTGTTAAGAATTATTCAACAGAAAGAAGTTAGATGGATGTTGATTTTTTTATAGAAATTCTCGGGCATAAATTTTCTCATTTTTTCGTTGTATTTTCAATTGTTTCTCATAATAAAATTGAAGAAAAAAAATAAAAAAAACGAAATGGACAAACTTTTTTCTATGAAGTTACTGGCTATTCTTCGGTCTTACCTGACACATAGATCATGTGTCGTGTCTTGCCTGGGGGTGCATTCAAGGCCATTTTATCCAACTTCGGGGGTGCCTCAGGGTTCTAACCTAGGCCCTCTATTATTTACTATGTTCTTAAATGATATTGTCAGGGACATAAACTCAGATGTATCGATTGGAGGACACGAAATTATATAGACTAATTTAGAGAGATGTTAGTGATGTTACTGCGCTACAGAATGACCTCAAACGTTTCTCTGATTGGTGCTCCCGTAATCGCTTGGAACTCAATGCTAATATGTGCAAGAATAGTATATTTCTAACCTAGGGAGGGAAAATAAAGGATCCTCAGCCGCCAGTGCAATTATCAGCCGAGCCGAAGGCGAGGTTTTTCCCGCGAAGCGGGAGGGAAATGTAACTTTGCGCCCGCCGGGACGAAAAATGTCTTTTTATCGAACCCGACACCCAATTCCAACAGAATACAGCATTGATGGAGTGACCCTTGATGATATAACTATATATCGTGACCTAGGTGTTATATTCGACAACAGATTGACGTTTGTTCCGTATATAGACAAGATAATTAGTTCCACAAATAAATCTCTTGGATACATAATTAGAATGTCTCAAAAAAGATTAGAAACATTGAGGTTGTTAAAACGCTGTACTGTAGCCTAGTAGTGCCCAAGATTGAGTATGCGGCCATTGTGTGGTCTCCTACTCAACTGAATCAAATCAACAGGACTGAGCAGGTTCACCGAAGGTCCTTATAATACTTATCATGGAAAAAAGATGGTATTTACCTGTAACGCAGCTGTGATCTATCAGATCTTCTCAGTCGGTTTGATATGATATCTCTCAATGAGAGGCGTACTATCACAGCTATTTTATTCGTTACCAAACTTGTTAGAACCAATATTGATTGCCCTAGCTTCCTTGCTCAACTCCCATTCAGAATTCCACCAAGTCTCAACTCCAGATACCAAACACCGTTTTATCTCCCTTTCTCTAAATCGGAGCTCACCATGTCCTCTCCATTATATAGAGCATGCAACCACGTCAATCTACTTGTTGAGCGTTGTGAGGGTGAACTGGATATTTTCTCGGCCCCTATATCCAGTGTAATTAGGCTAGCAACGGGGTATCTAAAATCGCTTCGTCCTTGAGTTCACTCAATCGCTGACGGTACCGCAACACTGTACTCATACTTATCTGCAGTGAATCACTATTGTAATCTATATTATGTTTCGCCATGTTTAATCAAATTGTCTCAACTGGGTTTTAGTTATGTGTTATAAATATCTTATACTTGTACATATTTGCAATAAATAAATGAATAAATAAATGAACAAATATATATTGAAACGTGCACGTCAAAGTTACAAAATGTTTTATAGAATTGGCGCGAGAATTGATCCGAATTTTCCAATAGACCTCAAACAAAATTCTCATGGAATTCCCATAAAAATGAAATTTAATTTCTTAGGGAAAGCTCTAGGATTTTCTATTGTATTTTTTTTACGTGTATGTTGACGAATACAGTACAGGCGATCAATATGAAGTCTCACCTTTCGAAATAGTTGTGAAAAATGGTCAAAAGTGTTATGAGAATGTAGCAAGAGACTGGGCGTGTAGAATTTCACGAAATTATCAAATGAATGCATTAATGCTAGATCGTTCTTGGAGAAGAAAATCAATACATTCCCATTGATGTGATTTTTCCCATCCACAGAGGACAACTGCAACACATCAATTAGTCGAATTGAATTTCATTTCCATCGATTTATTTACTGTTAACTCATTCAAGTCATGATTCCACAAATTCCAGAATATCCATGCCAAAAAAATGAAGTCTTATATCAACCGCTAATATATTGATAGAAGACAGGACCACCCCCTCCTCCTCCACGTGGCTCATTCTCTCCTCTGATACTGGCCCTTCCAATAAGTGAAAGAACGATGGAATGAATAGTATTGAAGACTTGTTGAAGTGGTGAGATTGAGAGCTACAACAAAGTCCGTATGAAAATCTCCAACTACTCAAAATTATTTATTTGAATTTTTGTAATCGAAAATTGAATGTTAACATATTCCCAACGTATAAAGGAACATTATCAACAATTTTTGCCCTCTATAATAATTATAAAAGCTGAAGAAGAAGAGGCACCTCGAAATTCATTATTCCATCAGTATTTCTATTGATACGATAAAAAAAAGTTTGTCTCTCTTTCAGATATTACAGGGTGTCCCATAGCATGTGACCAAAGTACATTGCAAATAACTTGGATGCAGTAAAATGTAAATAATTGTTCTTTTTTTATTGTACAAGGAACATTCGGCAAATTACAATACAATTCCTTCCAAGTGTCCGCCATCACTTGTACTACAGAACTCTATCCTTCGTTCGAAACTGGTATAGATACGCTGTATTGTGTTTTTATCAACAGCTCGGATAGCATCCGTCATTGCATCTTGCAACTCTCCCACCGTCGTCGGATGCTTCTCGTAGCACTTGTCCTTGAGAAAACCCCATAGGCAAAAATCGCAGGGATTTAAGTCCGGACAGTAAGGCGGCCATTCCATGCCCCCATGGGCATACTTAGGGTAACCTAAGCCTAACACGCGAGTGCCATAAACGGAAAAAACTATTTCAAATTGCTACTGCTCTTATAGCTGCATTAGCTGAAACTCCTTTTCCATAAGATGATTTGATGAAGAATGATTTTTGTTCGATGGTTAAATTTTCCATTTTAGTGCTGCAATTCCCGAGCGACTGAAGCATGAATGAAATTTGCGGAAAGTCTCCACTTCAACCATATATTAGACTTTAGACTGCACTGCCACCTTGCGGTATTCTACGCAATTTACTTTGGTCACATGCTATGGGACACCCTGTATGTATAAAGTTCATCGATGAATGATGATTCTACGTTTAGTGATTTTCATGCACTTACCTAGCCTTTTGTTATTTTATATTTGAGAAGATTCGGTAATCCAGACCTAATTTACATTTTGCAGAGTACTTTTTTTTTACTGTTTTCATCAATTTTACTTTTTTTTTTGGTTCAAATTCACTCATTTTAATCTGTATTCATAGAAAAATTCCACAAATTGGAAATCAAACCTTTGAAAATAATTACCTTTTTCGGTCGACAGATGAACTTTGAAATTAAAATGTATGTCCTTATTTTAAACGCCATTTTTCATAATTGAGAAGCGAGAGTTGGTGATCATATTAAATTTTTTTTTTCAATTTATACATCGAGATTTTTTTCAGGTAAAATTCTCGGTTACGAACAAAATCAAATTGCTAATTTTGAGCAATCGAAGGCAATGTCGACCTTTAAAATCTAATTTTTGAGGAAAAATCAGCCGAAAAATATTCATTTTTGAAATTTTTCCTCGAAAAACAGTAACGAAAAACTCACGCAGCATTACGGTGGTCGAGATTCTTTCCAGCTCTCTTTTTCTTTCCCCTTCCACCTGTTCCTCTTCCAACATTGCCATCACCTCCCCCTCCTCGATTGTTCCCAACACCTATTCTATTCCCTCCGCATCCCCTACGAGTGCCACCTCTCGGTGCTTGATTTTCTCGTCCCCTCTGATTCCCTCTCTCTCCATTATTCCCTCGATTCTGTTGATTTCATCCTCTCCCTCCTCACATTGGCTACTTGACCCTCTCTGACAGCTCTGCCCCCTCGTTAACCCTCTCCACGAGGCTGTTGGCCATAGAACCTCTGCAATAAATTGAGACTCTCTTGCATATTTGCAATGAGAAGTCGAGGAAGACCGTTCTCCTTTTGATGATGTTGCTGCTGGGCCTGTCCTTGTTGGGGCTGTCGTTGCTGGGGCTGTTCTTGTTGAGGTGGTGGGGATGGTGGTGGTGGTGCCTGTTGCCTTTCCATGGTGATGGCGTTAGTCTTTCCAAGTAGAAGAAAAAATTTTAATTAAGTTTATTATTAGGCAGAAACGAAAAAAGGAGTTGGTGTAGTGGGTTAGAAATGAGGAAACTGGGAGATGATATGTGAAACAATCTTTAAGTGGGAGCATCTTCTAATTATCAATTCAGTAACGAAATGGTGGAGGGTAACAAGTCAACTCAACTCCTAATGGAATTTTTGAGAATTTTTCTGAATCTGAGAGGGATATTGAAATTTTGATGGTCATTTTTTTCATAGACAGAAATATGTCCTATAAAATAGGACTGCAAAAAAATTTCCACTTCACTGCTGAATTTCACTTGAGAGAGATTCATGAAGTTTAGTTTACATAATAGGAGTGTAGCTATGTATATATAGGGAAGCAGAAATTTGCTGAGACATCTCCACACCATTATTGATTGAATGAATAGCATCGTTGGCTAGAAATATACCTTATTATTTATCTCAACCGCAGCCGAATGAAAAAAAAGCACTTCTAAATATCTTTTTATTTACTGACAAAAGCGTCGGGATGTTAAAACAAAAATTTCCTTTTTTCCATTATATATAGCTACATTCAAGCCGCCTCATTTATCCACTTTAACCTCCAAATGCCACATGGGCCGCGTTGAATTCCATCAGAAAATAGTTAGACATTGAAGCAAGGGAATAAGTCAAAAGATAGAATACACAATATCTCGAACTTGGAGCAAACACTGACAATAATTTAATCGATAATTACTTACCTAATGAATTCAAAGAAATTATCAGGTACAATTTTTTTTCCTCTTGCCTGCTTTTCACTTGACGTGGAAATTAAGGCGTCTACACAATTAAAAAGCATAAGGCTCGACGCACAATCGAAAAATATAAGGAGTACGGAATAAATACAAGGAATAATGCAGAGGGATGAGAATGAAGGCCGTTTCCGTTGAAAAATAAAAGCAATAAAATATCAAGTTGTCGGTTTATATATATATCGGTTTGTTTTTATTACATTCATTATGTGGATGCCTTTACCGTAATTTCGTGTAACGCCTGCGCACTACTGAACGACAATAGGTTTGGTCAACCTTCCAATCGATCCTCAGTACGGCTACTGCCAACTTCGAACAAAAAAACTCACAAATGAGTTAATCGTCATCACGGAAAACTGGAATTCGACGAGTAGAAATTCCTGTATCTTTAGAAATACTGCTCGGAGAGAAAAAAAAGGACACAGATGAGAAGGGCCTGGATGGTTTTACTATGAAACTGTTGTCAGTTTCTGCGTAATCTTTGTCGGTTTATTAAAAATCGAGGGAGAGTAATTGGGAGGTAGTGGAGGGAGTAGTGACTTCGTGTATAGATACCCGCTAGCGCTCGGCCGTTTCGTTTGGTGTTTGGATTTAAAATTTAAAACGGTTACTTGGCCGATACGCTATCGCGTATCTCGATAAGCAAATGGTGGAATGACAGCAATCATGAAAAAAGGGCTCTCCACAGGAAAAACACTCATCGAACGTGACTCGTCAACAACCACGGAGAAATGGCTCACTACATAGGAAGTGCTCACTATATGGAGAGGACTCACTAGATAGAAAGGGCTCCCATAATATGACTATAACATTCAAGGAGTACAAGACACGATCTATTCAACTGCTCTAATATACCCTGCATGCTGGAAATTGGTTTGATCATATCCATGATGGAAAAGGGGTAACGAAATCATTCATACTAATAAGGCTGTAAAAACAGGTGAGCTCTGAACAATTTAATAATCACAACTTACTGAGAAATAAAAAAATGCAGTCGACAACTGAACAGTCTAGGAACACAATGGTTAAAGAAAATTGAGTATAGATCATGATGAAGCAATAAAAATAAATGAAAGGAACGAAATGAATGATAAACATCATTAGAGCATGTGAGTAACAAAATGAATTTCTGGAATTGAATAACAATGATTATGATGTGACGAAGTGGCTTCGTTTTAGTCCTCGATTAGACGTGTGGAGAAAATAAATAATTAAACATAAATAATACGCGCACGCTCCGGTCACTAGAGTGTAAGGTTATGAATGATTGGGATTGAGTGAATGAGATTAAGAATATCAACGAGGAGTCCTGGCTCATTTCCTGATCATCGAGGGGTCATTAATTACCGGAGAAGATCATCAGCAGGCCTGGTAAACGAGTAACACCGTTTGGAAGCCGAAAATTTCACCACCAAAACACCAGAGGTTCCCCTATTTACTCTCGGGATACGGACACATGTCAACACGGTGTCAACCGGAGGATTTTGGATCTCGCGAGTGCCCTGAAACACACTACCAGGGTGCAGCACGTTACGGGCTCACCTAACCTAATCAGTGACACGCACAATACAATCGACTCATGCACGAGACAATTGGCAATACTAGAAAACGTCAGATACCACCTGACACCGGAGATCCACACCTGAAGGAATAGAAGGCGCCACCGCATAGCACGTGGCCGGCGATATTATGTAATTGGGGCCAGGATTGGCCAATAAATCAAATCCGGGCCAATGTCAAGGCCCGAGAGAAATGGAGCGAGATAGCCTGAGATGGAGAGGGCGATTATTACTTCCGCCTTCTCCATCATCCCTTCCATCTCTACTGTCAATCGCTTTGCATCGCTTTAAGTTTCTCTAATCTTCGTATCTATTGTGTGGGTCTAATTAAGAAGCTTTTCGTGCAAACTCGACAACGCAGGTGGGAACTAGGTTCTCCGGACCTTATCCGGAGGTTTTTGAGGCGACTGAGGGCAATTTCGAGGGGAAATATAGGCGGCAAATATCCAGGCGACTCTCCAGGCGAATATTCTATTCATCGGGCGAACACGTGACGAGGGACGGAGTCGAGACGTAATATTGGGCCAGGACGAGTGATTAGAGTGAGTGTGCACATATAAAATATTGTTATTGATGCAACGAGGTCATTAGCGAGTACGAGAGCATTTTAGGGCTCATTAAAGCGCCTGTCAGCTTTCTTGACAGTAGGAATCTCATTGCGAACGGAGACTATCGACTCCATCTTGATAAAACCGCGTGGCCATCGAGTCAGTGCTTACCGGAGCGAAATACAATAATTTATTGTAAGCGTTACGAGCGTCTGAGCCATAGATAATATTGCGATATTATTAATTGGAATTATTATTTTATTTTCGTTTCCTTTGTATCGTTGTTCGCCGGAGGTGCAACGGAGAAAGAGGACATCTCGGCTAGTAATGCGGGTAAGAGGCGTTGTGAAAGCCCAGGTAATGTCTATGGATCTGTTCATCTTACATTTATCCTTGATTATTCATCTTTCTTTCATTTTTCTTATTGAGCGATAGCCTTCTTAATTCATTTCTATTATTATTAAGTTAATAGAATTATAGCAAAATCATTTGTTTTTCAGTTCATAAAATTAGTTAAGTTCCATTGTTTAAAATACAGACTGTTCAGTAATTCGATAATCTTTCTCTTTACTGAATAATATCCTTTCCTTCAAAGATATAGAGTGAATAAATTAGATCAAGCACAAGCACACCGGACAACAAATAGGTAACGGTGTATATTGCACTGCGTGCATCTGAATGGTGAAGAGTTCTCAGGCAAGTACTGCTTAAGAATTATTTCCTTTATCATTGGGGATCATCTCGAGTTTACTGCAGTAACCGGAATAAATATATTTTGACTATTCGAGAGATTAAAGAATTTACGTTGATTGTCACTTGTTTTCTCAACACGCACCTTTTCACATTGCCTGATATTTTAGAAATACCAGACAATATCACAATGATTATAAAAAAACTAAGTGGATCTAAAATTTTAAATTGCTAATCGTGACAGAAATGATCGAAGATCATGATCACGAATAAACCACTAAAATTGAAAGAAAATAATTTTTACACGGATATTTTGTTTATTTTTATATTTCGCCTCGAGAAAGGCAACAACCACACGGTTATTTTCCCTTGGGAAAGAAAATAACGGTTGCTCTACACGATAAAGGGAACATAGAAGTTAACGATTGTGTTTCCTGAGAGAAGGAAAACTGAAATTAACTGTTGCTTTTCTCGAGAAAGGGAACATAAAAATTACGATAAAAGCCCATTGAAAATAAGTAGGAACAACTGCTTTGTTTCATGAGTAGATTGGTCCACTCAATATCTCATTAGTTATGTAATACTTATGAATCTAGCGTATAGCATTTAGCGACTTGACTGATAGAAGTCAAGCGCCATTCAATTCACAATTAGGGAGCCAATATTGCAATGATAGAAGAATTTTTACCAGATGAAATTACAATGGACCCCGTATTATTAAAGTTCTCTATCAAGGCAAAATATCAGACGAAATTCAAAGTGTGGAACATGTGTTTGAACTAAAAACGAAGTCTGTAATATAACTCGAAATATCTGATGATATAAAATCAGATCAGTTGAAATACGTGAATAATATAGGAGAAAATCCAAATGAATAAAAATTTAGAAATAACAAAAATTAAATAACAAATAATCTAGAAATACAAAAAAAAGATAAATGCAAATCTGGAAATAATGAAATGCCCATGAATTGAAAATTTGGAAATAAGAACAACCAGGTAACGAAAAATCCGGCAATGTAAAACCAGACGGATAAAAAGTCTGGAATAAAATCAGATGGACCAAATTTGAAAGTACATCTTTAACATGTAAATACTAGGCGAAAGGCCCAGAGAGCGATAGCTGAAACTCAAGTTTGTTCTAAACAAAGTTCTGAAAATAAAATCAGATCGATGAAAATCTGTTAATAAAATTATATGAATAAGAATCTGATAATTAGCAATAAAGTTATTTGAGATGCGATAATAAGAAATGAAGCCGATCCATGATCAAAATAAACAGATCAAAATAAACTAAAATCAGGTAATTAGCAATCAGACAAATCAAAGTCTGAACAATGTAAAATCACACAAATCCCATCAAATGTGAAAATCATGATTCAGATAGATTGAATTGATAGATAAACC